GGGAGCTGCCCGGCGGCAAAAGGGCGCAAATTGTAGGCGGACGGGGTCATGACAGCCGTATACTTTTCAGGCGACACAACACCCATGCATTCTGAGTGGCCAAGCATCCATCCGAGTCCGACTGACCAGCCAGCGTCCGCTTCAGATACGCGTATCTCATACCCACCCCCGCTTTCCTGATGCAGCTTCCTATCGGCACAAATCCACCGTCACAGCCCTGGACGACAGCAGCGCCACAGCATTCAGGATAACTGGCTATAGAGGCAATGTAAGATGGTTGTTGAGCGCGCAGCCGTTTCAGGTTGCCGTTGTAGCCAGTTGTCATTGGAGGTCTAGGGAAGAACATTAAGTAGAAGGGTCGGAGGCTGCATGCTGGCTGTGCTCAGTAGCCAAAAAATGAAAATGTTGATGCAAGGCAAGTATTCAGTAAAACTCAGGAATAATGACAAATGGTTTGGTGGAAAGCAACGTGGAAAAAAGCAAAAAGTTAAAATAAAATGAAGAGAGGAGAAATAACAACGAAATATCGATAGGCAGAAGAAAAAGGCAAAGGAGGAGAATGAAGGAAGGAAAAAATAAGGAGCAGATTAAAGAAAAACGAATTCTGGATGACGGTGGTAAAAGTGAACAAGCGAATACAGCTCAACAAAACTGACTGAAAGAAATCAAACAGAAGTCTCGTTTTAGGAAGAGAAAAGAAGGAAGAATTTTAAAACTAAAACCAAAAAAAAGCGAACGAAACCAAATCATCAACAACAAAAACGTCAAAAAAAAAAGCTGCGATGATTTTCTGGATATCACCAAATAGACACTTGGTCGATTCCTACGCGTTTTTTTCCTTCTACCTGGCTTTGCTTTGCTCTTGTTTTATTTCAGTTTTTTGCTTTTTTCTCTATTAATTTTTTCAAATAAGAGAATGACTAATGTCGAGGGCGGAGAAAAACTGATAAAAATTCTGGACAAACTACACGAAAACAGTTTGGCAAGAGTACGGTTCATAGCAAAGCAAAGCGTCAATCAGTGATCGCCGTATTCAGCGGCGCAGGAAAAATCATAAAGAACGAGACGAAAACGAGGGAAATAAAGAAGAAGGTGGGGCAAAAGAAGTAATAACAGAAAAGGAGGAAGGAGAGGAGGAGGAAGAAAAGGTTGATAACTGCAGAAAAAAGCTGCTTTTTTACCTTTACCCATCCTAAACATTGCTTTTTTTGTTAAATTTTCATTGACCATAAAAGTTTTTTTAGGGAAGCGAGCGAGTAAAAAAACTAAAATTTTTTTTCAGTTTTTTAATTCCTTTTGTTTCGTTTCTTTCTTTCTTTTTTTTCTTCATCTGAACAACCACAGTGGCGACAGCGTTTAAAAACATGGACACTTCAAATGACAGGAAAACACCGTGTGGACTGCAGCAAATACATCTCTGTAA